AAGGTTGCAGATTTTGTTCCTTTTTATTATGTAGTGATCTGAAAGGGATTGAAGAATTAGCTCTTTAATTCTGATTTTTTTTTTTCAAATTCTGCTTCTTGACATAATGTGAGAGTGGTTGCAATGATGTTCTTTTTTATTACATGTTTCAAAAGTACCAACATAACAGGACCTTGTGCATGTAAAACATTCTTATTAATGATGGATGAACATGTATTTAAAATGCAATGTTATCTAAGACTGAACCTCAAATAAACAAAAAAGTTTTCTGAACCTGGGCAGCAATCCAAAGGTAGCATAAGCCAATGACATTGTATATACTTTCATATCATCAACAGGGCTTGAGACTTGTGAAAATAAGCCAAGGAAGGCCTCATCCGTAACTCAGCTGCATGATTTCCTGTGCTCTCCTTCATTTTTCTTGGTGTAAACAGAGTTACCTACCTGTACATAGAAAAAGCAAACCTGGAAAGCAGAGGTACATTAAAAAACACAGAGCCAGACCAAGAGCCCTGGAGTGGGAGTTAGGAGCACTGTTCTCTCATTGAAACTTTGTCCCCAATAAACTGGATAATCTTGAAGAAGTCCCCAAATCTCCCTAAGTTTCATTTTCCTCAACCATTAAAATAATAACAACAATAAACCAAAACCAAACCCACTGCCACAGAGTACATTCCGACTCATAGCGACCCTTAAGGACAGAGCAGAACTGCCCTATAGGGTTTCCAAGGCTGTAAATATTTACAGAAGCAGACTGCCAAGTCTTTCTTCTGAATAACAACAGTAATAAGAAATAAGAACATCGATCTCACTTGAGCACTGTAGCAGAGGCACTGGTGCCATGTATTTGCCATACAATTTCCTGTTCCCGGAACTCTGGAAAAGTCCATGTTCCCCAGCCTCTCCTGCAGTTAGGTTGGGGGGTGCGGGGGGTCACTTGACTAAATTCTAACCAAGAAAATGTGAGCAGAAGTGATGTAAGCCATTTTCTAAACTGGTATTTAAATACACCTCACAAGATCCTCCAGCTCTCTCCTTCTGTTCTGTGACAGCTTTAGCAGCCACATATTTCATGGTGAAGCTAAAAGATATGGAAGCAGTTCACGTCTCTGAATTACCATCTGAAGGCAAACCTAAGTTGAAAAGCTATTACTCCTACTCAGACTATCATGTGAGTAAGAAATAAACTTTATTTTATTAAGCCACTAAAATTTTAAGGTTTATTTGTTACCACTGTATAACATAACCTATCCTGACTAATAAAAGAACTAAATGAGTAAATAAACGCATTTTTAATATATATGTATTTAAGGTGTTATACAGGGTGGCATTGAAAATAATGGTTAATATTGATGAAAAGCTTGTAAAAATTAATAGAACTTCAAAAGTGTGTAAAGGCTGCCTGAAAGGTAAAATCTATTTGTGTCTTCACTTTTAGAAGAACCCAGTCACTATAAACTAGCCACATACTTAACTGAACAACTAGTATATATCTGTCCCTGCCTTTAACATATCTAGGAAATATAGACAGAGATGATCAATTTTACTAAGCATTTCAACTTAAATGACTGGGTAGACATGACCCTATCAGCTATTTTCACCACAATGAAGTACAGTCACTGACACTAAAGTTCATTAAAAAAGACTACTTTTGGCCCAAACAATAAAAATCACACCCTAGTGAAGTGATTCTCTCACTTTACAATAAGAACTGAAAGGATGATCTGTGACCATTTTTTAAAACCTCCTTTTAGGAGAACTCTCTTCTTGTATAAACACTAAAAAAGAACAAAAAAAGGCTAAGCTTTCATGGGTAATATAATTTGACATATACTGATTTTGTCTAAAATATAATTTTGCATACACTGATATTCTATACACAGTCAAAAAAATAAAAAAAAAACAAATCCTTTGCTGTCTAGTTGATCCCAATTCATAGCAACCCTACAGGACAGAGCAGAACTGCCCCCTGAGGGTTTCCAAGAAGCAGCTGGTGGATTCAAACTGCCAATCTTTTGGTTAGCAGTCAAGCTTTTAACTACTATGCCACCAGGGCTCCATATACAGTCAAGTACTACTTAAAATTTGGAGAAGCCCATCTGAGGACCTGAAAAAATTATACTTAAGGTAGTTTCTATTATTTTTGTAAGGGGTGTCAAATTGTCTTGATTAAATTGTTTAGTCAATCTAAGAATTATTCTCTTTAGAGGCCTCTGAAGGGATACAAATTCAAGTCAATAATAAACACTATTGATTAAATCCAAGAGAATTACATCAATTCAGTGGCTCCTTATTGGATGATTACTAGCTATTACTTTACAAATATCACTGACAGGATTGAAAAGACTTGTCATAGAATCAGAGGGCCAGAACTCGGTTCAGAGAAGGCTAAAAATACTCTTTAAGTTCAATTTTTAAATGCAGCTTCCCAAAAATCAGACATGTATTTTAGAGTAATCTTGACATCTCCAGACATGCATAAATGAATTTAAGCCTGTCAGTAACTTATTTTAATGAAAGAAATTATACCAATTTAAATACTTGGAATTCATCTTTATGACGATGCTGAGTTACTAATTGTAGAAATCAGAAATAAGAAATTATGGCAAGTAACTGCAATTAGCAAAATCAACCGTCGAAGAGGAGGACAGTAGAGGTAAACAGAAAACTGAGTGGGCCTATTCCTGAAATGTTTTATGATTGCTAAAAATTCATAATGTGTCATCTCACAAAGGATAGAGGAACTGTAATGAAATATAAGCCAAGTCACTAGAGTTAATTCTATACACACCAACTATGTATATGCATAGTAAAACAAAGCAGCTTAACAATATAAGGTAACCACTATGGCAAATATTGTTCATTCACTCCCCCTCCTCCTTAGTAAACAGAACATTGAATTTTTGGTGAGCACATTGCTTACTGGAATAAAAGACTATAAGAATCCAGAAATGAACAACTGATCACACTCAAGGATAGTGTGGGATGTTAGGTAAAGCAGATTAAATAAAACTGACTGAATTCTGGGGGCCTGCCTTTTTGATTTTTGCCCTTTCTGCTCTACCTGACCTGTACCATATTTATGATGGCGAGAGCTCCAGCAGTCATCATGGATCCTGAGGTGACCTTGAGTATGGAAGCTATGCTTTGGTCCTTGATGACGCCATGAACTACCATACAACCATTCTAATCTACATTGAGACTATTTGTACATGAGACATAAATACATATCTATATCCTTTAAGGCACTATTATTTTGGGTTTTTCTGTTAGGGGCAGCTAAAATGATCTTAACTAATATAATTAGTCAAATCAGTAAAAAAAAAAAAAAAAAATTAGCAAAAACCATAAATTAACTGTCTAGCTAATTTGTCCACCGTTTTAACCTGGTGAAGTATCACTCAGGTTTTTTAAAATATTAATATAGTTTTATAAGAAAATCAGCCCTATGATAATTTATTGTAATAATATTTTCTTCACATGCTGTAAGTGACCTAGAGGGAAAAAATTACTGGGAATTCAACTCCTAAGGAAAAAACAAATTTCCCTTCTAATTCCTGAAAAATAAAAAAAGTATAATGAGAAATCCGATAGATTTATATTTTCAAAAGTAATTTAGGAAAGAAGAAAAGAAATAGACATTTACTGACCCCCTACTACTCTGTTACATACCAGACATTTTCATTTAATTCTCATGGCAAACATTTTAGGCAATGGATATTCTCCCCATTTTTCAAGATCAGGAAACTGAGGTTCAGAGATGTTAAGGAACTCTTTCACAGTATTCATACTGTAAGACCAACTTCAAACCCCATGCTCTTTCCCTATATTCTGCTATAAAACGTACATTGACATGTATTAATATGAAGAGCACTTTTTAGTTTTAAACTCTTCTTTATCATTCCTATTTCCAAGATTTTGTTTAAGGAAAAAACACCGATTCTTACATAGGAACAATGGTTAAATTTTTAATCTCCAAATAAAAATTATGCTGATGAAAGCCTGGAAAGTTTTTGAAAGCCTAAAGCTCTGTACAATTATACCTACTTAAAATGATGTTAATGAAAAGCGAGAACAAAAGAGCAAGGGAGACAGTGAGAGTGAGAGAAAGTGAGATAGAGAACAAATTTATTTATATCCCTCTGATCTTAAATGGAGTCCTGGTGGCACAGTGGTTAAGAGCTCTGCTGCTAACCAAAAGGCTGGCAGTTCAAATCCACCAGCCGCTCCTTGGAAACCCTATACAGCAGTTTTACTCTGTCCTATAGGGTCACTACGAGTTGGAATAGACTTGAAGACAACAGGTTTGGGATCTTAAACAAAAGGAACCCTATTCTGTTGCATACTTTTATTCTTCCCTGCTATATTATATAGACTGAGGCTAGGAAAGCTTTCATCTTCCAACCTAGAAATGAAAATAATAAATAGTTACAAAATTTTAGTATCAAAAAAATTTCCAGTCCAGGAATCTCTCTTTCTCATCTTGTTTTAACCTCTTTCTCTTTCTCCTCTAAATTGGCAAAGACAAAGCAAAGCGCTAATACTAATTTCTTTTGTATCTAACACAGTAAATGGCTGATATATTAAGCTTCCAAGCTACAAAGTCATGAAAAACAAAAGAATGGCATTATGGTGACAAAAAAAACCACACGCCCCTAAATGTGTTGCTGTTTTAGACTTCATAAAGAAAAAAAAAAGCAGTGACTACCATCTACTATACGTGTATTCACCTCAGTAGCTGATACTTGTTACAGCTTATACCGGGGTAGAAACACAAAGCTTGATGAGAAGAAAAACAGCATTCCACATATCTGATGTTGGTTAAAATAACATTTAGGCAAACCCAAGGTATTTCTATTATAAATTCTTTTGCTGGAAGTCGTGTTTGTGGTTCATGACTATAGCAAAATTAATTTTCTTTAAAGTTTCACTGAATTTACTAAACATCTTGAGTTTGGTAATAAAAATCTATTTTAAGGTAAGTGATGCTCAGGACTTACCCCCTCCTCCTCCAAGCAGGCTGCCATTTGCTGTTCAAAAAAAAAAAAAAAGGGAGACATTAAATAATATATAAAAAATATAATATGCCAGAGCAGTTCAAGAAAAAGCTGGTAAAGATCATGTCACATACACATATATAAAATATGGACTTTCATATAAAGATAGCCTTTATTATTTTTTTATGACAATCTGAAAATTAAAATATTTTACTATTTTTCTTTTTTTATCTTCAACTGACTATTTTTACAATGTACTTTCTTCTAGTAAAATGAAGTACATATTGTGATCCTTTTATTCTCTATTCGGGATCTAAATTAATCTTCTGAGTTCTCCATTTTAGCAAGAAGAGACAGAACAGTGTTATTTAGGCAATTTCAACGATTTTGAAAGAGAATGTTACATGAAAGTATAATGATAATTAAATTAAACATCATCGATCAAAAATATCTCAAGACACTTTTCAATAAGGATCTTTAACTCAAATAGTAACAGATATATTACTTTTTATATTAACTTTTTATTTTTTTAAAACAATGCTGTGTCATTTCTTATCCATTTCTTAACAATTAATCAAGCACAAATATTTATAGAAGCTAAATAATAAGCAAAGTATAAGGCAATTCCATTTGTTTTCTCTCAAGAGGTCAAATTTTCAGGAAGTTCCTTTGCAGGTTTCTGCTGAAGTATTAAACAAACTATGCCTATGTTTATCTTGCATAATAATAGTCAGCAAAACAGAAGTCAATATACATTGCACTGAGCTTTATACATGGAGTTCATATGTTTCATAGGCATTATCTTGTGCCATTATAAACATATCCTGCAGCAATATAAGGAAATTAAGTGGTAAACAAGCTCCCCTTCTTGCAGACGAAAACTGAGATAACAAAAGATTAAAGAAATCATTTAGGAAAGAGGAGTAAAAGGTCTTTAAGTTCAGTTGCAGGGAACTATCCACAGACCATGCATTGCCATGAATTAGGAGGAAATATCACAGTTTAATGATTCCATCAATAAACATTACCATATTCACAGTTCTTTCAGGTTAAATATGTGATGGGTTACTGATTATTGAAACACTATAGAGGATATTATGAAATCATGAAAACACATGGAGAGCAAATGCCCTTGAAGGTCTTTTCAGTATATCAATATTATAGAACCAAATCTTGTCCAAGACAATCTTCCAAGTACCAAAAAAACCCAAACCTATTGCCCTCCAGTTGATTCCAACTCATAGCAACCCTATAGGACAGAGTAGAACTGCCCCCATAGGGTTTCCATAGCTGCAATCTTTACAGAAGCAAATTACCACATCCTTCTCCCATAGAGCAGCTGGTGGGTTCGAAAGGCAGACCTTTCGCTTGACAGCCCAGCTCTTAACCACTGCACTGCCAGGGTTTTACTCTTCCAAGTACCACTAAACCTTTTGCCATTGACTAGATTCCTACTCATAGCAACCCTACAGGTCAGAGTAGAACTGACCCATAGGGTTTCCAAGGAGCAGCTGGTAGATTCAAACTGCCCATGTTTTGGCTAGCAGCCAAGCTCTTAACCACTGAGCTACCAGGGCTCCCTTCCAAGTATAAAGCCAAAACCAAACCCATTGCTTTTGAGTCTATTAGTCTTCCAAGTATAGGGTTGTCTACTTGGGGCTCTTGCCTTCCCATCAGTACTTTTGCCACAAACATGGACTAAGTAGCAATGCTATTAACGAACCGTAAACAAAATTCACTTCTGCTCTCATAAAGTCATTTGCCACCTATCACCTCAAGTCTCCAAATCCCTCTGACTTCACAGTGAGAAAGTGTGCTGTATTTACATAGACAGCAGCCAGGACTTAATATCCTGCCAAAAATCAAGCTTTGTAAATGTTGAAGTGTAACTTGTTGAAGGGGCAAGAGGAAAAATATTGAGAATTTTCTTTTGGTCTCACACCCCTTAGTAAATGGTGGGAATTTCATCAATCCAAGTCCCTTGGCTAATCCAAACATTTTCTAAAGTCATAGCTACATGTGTTTATAAAACTGCATGGCATTTCACACTCCTGCTGATATTTTATTTTCATATTTGACTGAGAACTACTTCCCTATCTATAGGTTTTCCAGATCCTTGAGACTCCATCTGCTGTCCTCCAATTTTCAAATATTCATTCATAAGGAAAAGGGTATTTCCAAAACAACAATAACAAATGGTCACTCTTCACTCAAATTACCATGCTTGGAAACATAATGACACAATATAGTCTATTTTTCCCCCAATGTTTTGCTCAATAAAGGTGGAAGTTTCCTGTTTTGAGATCACAGTCCAAGGCCCATCTGTTTAACCAGGCACTTGTCCAATAGATGTGGATGGATGAGTGGGAGTAGGTATAGGAACTAGAATTCCAGTCCTGGAGAACCATCAAGTCAGTTTATGTCAAATGTTGTTCATGTTTACACAAGCATATCTGGTCACATTTTAACATCAATATAGAATTGCTTTGTAAAATTGTGGCATTCTACTGAGTACACAATCACTTTTAAGATAATTTCATGTGTATTACAATGCATGTGACAGAATCTTAATCTAAGTTTCTTAAAATATCCAGAGCAATTCTAATTGCTATAATCCTAATAATGATTTTTCTAAAGAATCTATAAAATTTAACTCTATTTTATCAATTTCTCCTCTCTAAAAATTAAAAAAAAAGTTTACCTTATTGGCAAAAATGTCAAGGCAATTTTCTTCAGTAAAAGAGACATAAAAATAGAGAAATAAAAGGGAACATCTATTATAATTTTTTAAATATTACTTTACCACCACAAATCATCCTATATGTGATACAAATTATTCTCAACATTTATAGATTAAGTGAATTAATATTATTTCTTACATTTTACAGAAGTGGAAATGTCCATTATATGTCTAAAATGAACAGTTCAATTTCTATTTAATTATCTCCAATAAATTGAGTTTTTGGTTTTTTTTAATTAAAAGGGAATTAGATTACATATTTAGATTACATATTTCCTAAAGTTGCCAGCTTGGAATTGCTTCCCCAATGAGGTTTAGTTAGGAATACTGGCTTTTTTCTAAAACTCTGATATAGTTTCGCTCTAGAGTGGAATAGTGAATCCATATGCTTAATTCTGCCATAAAATTTGGGGCTTTGGCTCAGAAACCCAGAGATATGACTCCCTTGAACATTTCTCAAGAAGAATTCATTAGAATCATGGAATTGGAAGGTTCTAAGATCTTGGAGCCCTGGTGGCACAGTGGTTAAGAGCTCGGCTGCTAACCAAAAGGTCAACAGTTGGAATCACAGTCGCTCCGTGGAAACCCTATGTGGCAGCTCCATTCTGTCCTATAGGGCTGTTATGAGTCGGAATCGACTGGACGGCAACCGGTTTGGTTTGCTTTTGGTTTAAGGTTTTCCTGGAGCCCTGGTGGTGCAGTGATTAAGAGATCGGCTACTAACCAGATCTGCTTGTTTCATTCCTTCACTGTGCAAGTGAGAAAACCAAGACCAGTGTGATAGGTGGATTGCCTAAACTGGTGAGTGGCCTGTACTTCTAATTTTCCGTCCTCTCAACATTATAAGGAGCTCTGATGGCACAGCGGTTAAAGCGCTCAGCTGCCAACCAAAAGGTGGGCTGTTCAAACCCACTAGCCACTCCATGAGAAAAAGATGTGGCAGTCTGCTACCATGAAAATTTGCAGACTTGGAAACCCTGTGGGGCAGTTCTACTCTGTCCTATAGGGTCATTATAAGTAGGAATTGACTCGAAGGCAGTGGGTTTGGTTTTTGGTTTATCAACATTATTGTCATACTTCAGGAGGTCATCTAAGTAACTGAACAAAAATTCAGAGGTTACACATGCAAAGAGAACAAGAAACTGAAAAAAATTCTCCTTTCTATAAATTCTAAGGCACTAACACCAAGTCGTCACTCAGCAAATTAAATAATTATGTGAAAATTCTGCCTGGCACTCTCAGATGGATTTAATTACCAAGACCGCTAAAGGCACCAAGTTGAAAAGTACCAGACTGAGAGAGCTTTGAAAATATTCACAATTTTTTTTTTTTGGCAATATATTTTGTATACCTGTTTTATGTATTTAGAGTATCTGCTGAGAAAAGGAAATTTCTTCTCAAATACACCATGAAATGGATTATTAAGTGGTCGTCTAAACCAAACCAAACCCGTTGCCGTCGAGTCGATTCTGACTCACAGAGTAAAACTGCCACACAGGGTTTCCAAAGAGCAGCTGGTGGATTCAAACTGCTGACCAGCCAAGCTCTTAACCACTGCACCACCAGGGCTCATTCCCCAAATGCCTATATCCAAGTGATCCTAACAGAACAGGTAAAGTGAGAGTGATAAAGAAACATCAGAGACTATTTCTTCTAAGCAGCCCTTCTTCTTTTTATGACCTCATATCCCTATTATTTCACATCTATAGGGATGCAAGGCATTAATGATACTGGGAAGATCCAACTATGGATTGCCTTTCACTAAAACCACATTTCAAAGGCAGAGATCATCATGTGTTGATAACGTATAAGGAAGACATGAACTGAAAAAACTATGAAGAGCCATGAAATTTGGTAGGGGCAAACAACATTTACTAATAAGACTGGTATTATGACATAAACACCATTCAGTGTGGACTCCTTAAACTCTATGTGCCAATAAAATTATGTATTATCAACTTCTTAAGCTACAATATGGATGAGCTCTTATTTGGTGATATACCAGAGTAAAGCCTTTGCCCCCAAAATTGCTTAAATTGCCTTCTGAGTGGTACGTCCTGATTCTTGGAAAACTTTTTACTCTAAACCGAAGAATTATCTTAAATACTTTTGGGACAAGATTGGATGAAAGCAAATTAAATAATAAATCCTAATATCATTCCCTTAGAAGGGACTCAAAATATAGTCTATTCCATAGACTATATTCAATAAAGAAATAGCAAATATCTCCCCAAATTATTAAACTATTGAACTAGTTAGCCCATCAAAACTCTATGAAAATTCTGTAGACAAC